CAGCTCCAGGGCTGAGTTTCGTTCGCGTCAGCTCCAGCTCAGGCGTTGCTGCGGCCCGGCACCACGGTGGCGCTGTGGCAACTCGCCTAGCATCGGAGCACGTATGAGTCCGAGCATCTGTGACGTAACATCTAACATCCCGGGAGCCATGCCCGCCGGGCCGCTGGCCCCAGGAACGATGTCCACAAGCGCTACCTGCGCATGAACGGGCACCACGACAAAATGGATGGATCTTCGAAGCCGCTTGTTCCGTTTGGGGATTGGAGCCCATGTCGCTCTCAGCACTCTGTCTCTGCCATTGCCAGGTTGGGCAAAATGACAGACGTGCCTCGCGGATGGACTTGGGAGCTGTTCCGGGCCGGTGCCTGAGGAAGTCTTGCCAACACAATTCCTGTAACATGCGACACCACAGCAGCACAGGTCGTGGATGCCGGCTATGGCCAGGTGGCCTTGCACAACCACATCAGCAATCGCTTCATGAAGATGGGTCGCGAACCTTGGGCCTTCGAATGCAAATCCGCCCAGACGGGTGGGCAAATGCTTGCTGCAATCCACGGATGCCTGTGACCTCTGTGACCGTGTGTATAAAGCCGTGGCTTCCAAGGACATGATTCGCTCGCCGAAGAAAGACTGGAACAAGTTGCCCCCAAGCTGATTTAGTGTCGCAGAGCTTTCGGAAAAGCGGTTTCGGCCCAAATCAGCTCTCCTCCGCCTAGCAGAGGGGAGAGGTGCGTTTTGAATTCCGACACGAGGCCTTCGAACTGGGGCGCGGAGAAATTCACCGTGGTAGACGGAGGCCCGCGTGCAACTGCCTTTCATGGCCCATCCCGCGCTGTCCTCCACCAGGTGGCACGGTGGCCCTGCACCACGCAGTCCACAACCGCCTTTTGGACGCAAGCGCAAAAGCCAAGGCCGCCAAGGCCAAGCCGAGACTCAGGCTGCTCTAAAAGCCGCTTTGGCACCGAGGTTTCGTGTCCATGTGCAACCACGGCGATGGGTGCATCAGCCCTCACAAGGTGCAAAGAAAGCTTCTGAAACAGAAGTTGTGAATTCCTTCCTACATCGGGCCGAGCAGCATGGGTACCAGTATCTCGGGGAAGCCAGTGGAGCATCGGGCCAGGCCCCAGATCACCTGCCCGGTGGCTGGACGTGGCCGAATCCTCAGCAGGGGTCGCCTGTGGGTGCTATACCAAGGCTGTACGATTCGATCGCCATCCAGTTTTCCACTCCGTCGTGCTCACCCGCTTTGTAGTTTCGACTCTTGTCGCTGCTTCTTTGAACAGCCTTCATATCATTGTGATGCGGCTAAGTAGAGTGTACAGGGGTGTGGAATAAGGAAGCAGGGGTCGCCCCCAACTCCGTTTATGCCCTTCCAATCCAAGCCCCATGTCATGAGCCAACAAACCAAAGCTGGACAAAAACTCATAGATCTGTGGCTTTGAAGCTGGCCCCATATCGGCTACAGCGCGAGGATGGACATCTGGCAGCTACAAACGAATCAACCATCTAGCTAGCCAAACTCAAATTCAAACGGCTAGCTTGCTACATATCTAGCCAACTATAGGTAGACATGTGTTTTAGCGTTCATGCATGTATACGTCTTTGCATGCGAGACAGATACTGACAACTGTCCTCAAGATGCGGCAGAATCTGGCGAGGAAAATGGCATAGACGCAACTTGCAAACACACCGATGGACAAGCTGGCAGCTGGCACAGACGCAGTGGAAGAAGACCAAAGGAGAAGGACAATGCAGGTGATACAACATATGTCACAGTGAAAGTTGGTAAGCCATATCCATTTTGCTGCAGGCAGAGGTTCCACGTGGTTGAGGCCTGCGGATGCCTGCGGTATGAGTTGGATGAGGTATGGGAAGCGCCTCTAGCAGCTCTAGCACCAATGCCGAGAGAAAGGTGCTCGAAAAAAAGCAGGCATCGCCCGCTCAAAGACTGGATAAGAGAAGCCATTCCCTGTCAGATCAAGCCATGCCACACCGGCAGCGGCACCAAATGCAAGACCTGTGAAGATCCATTTCACCGCGAGGCGGGGGAGTGGAGGGGATGGAAGCTTGGGTTCTTGCAAAAACGACAGTGTTCGAGTGCCTTCATCGATTTCTTATGCGGTGAGGCCAAGGCAGCAAGGGACAATGGCTTAATACGGGAGACACGATTGTGCCTTCCAGTGCCTATAGGCCGAAAGCTACTTTGACCCCACTAAACTGAACCCACAAGCCGTGATTTTTGGGACCGGATGTATGGCTCCTCATTGGCAATTGGTCCACGTTGACAGCTCATTGTCGTGAGTTGTCTGAGCGGCACATGATGCATGCATGCTCGATGATTTTGCATGGACTTGGTTGTGCCAGTGTGACAGCGTGGTAGCTTTTCGCACATCGTCGCAAACAAATCTTCAAGTAGGGGCAGGAGGATACAGGCGTTGCAAAATGCAATTCACGCCAGAGCCAACCTTGTCAGAATGCCGTTCAATTCGTCGTTACAGACTCGGCATTCAAAGCTCCTGGCAGAGAGAAAGTTTGCCGCCAACCTTGGGCTGGCCCTACACAAGAAGGTCCTCAGTCTTCAGTTACCGGTATTGGAGGTTGCATCATGCACCACAGCCTTATGTGACCGTAGCAGCAGGGTCAAGTCAGGTGCAAAGGCCGATGGCTGCGCCAGTTCGTCAGATTGATGCGACCGGTTTTGCACACTACACATTGTAAAATGAGGCGAACCCTTACATTGGTGTCATTCATTTCCAACTTAAGACACGGAGTTTGTGACAGGTCAACGACCACTGCGCCGCTTGCAACGCCGGCCATTTCCTCTCTGGCAAGCGCTGCAAGGTCACAAGAAGTACTTTAGAGGGCGGCCGGGATTGCTCCTCTGATCGAGGGATTTCCAGTCAGGTATATTGTGTTGTCGTAGCTGCTTTGCAGTTTGTGTGTTTATTGCCTCCACCTTGCAACTGCAGATTTCGAGGGATTGCGCGGTTTTGCCTGCTTGTCTAAGGACCTGCAGGGGAGAACCTGCGCAATTGCGGGATTAAGTTTCAAGCCAAGCCGACAGCTCCGCAGCTGCTCAGTGGAGTCCGCAGCAACACGATTAAGATCTCCCTTGCAACAGGTCATCATCTACAAATGCGATCCCGGATCCGGGAGCAAGTGCAAGACCTGCGTGGCGGCGAAAGACCGCAAGGCCGGTCCAGAGTGAATCTCTCGGCATTGAGTTTGGGCTCACCCCACCCCACCCCAACCCAATCCGAGCAGAGGCATGCCGAAGCTATGCTAGCCTAACCCTAACCCTAACCCGTACCGTACCCTTACCCTAGACTACCTACCTGTGACCTGTGGCATCTGAGGACACGTCCTGGCTTGAGCACGTAGTGATGCGACTTGTGTTTGGTCCAAAGGTCCGACTAGAAAAGCCGGCGCCAGGTTGATAACCACTGCGCCAGCTGCAATGCTGGATGGCAGCTGAAAGACAGGAAATGCCAGGCCAGGGCGAATTGTTTGGTCTTGGTGCATCTCACATCATTTCCCCCAGCGCTGGGAGGCCGTTGCCTGCCCTGCGAACTCCGCCGGCACAAATGTGGCATCTGGGTGCAGCTGCAATGCAGGTGCTGTGGGATGGCATGGACAACTGTGCGTCCGTTGAGGTGCATGCTTGACCTCAGCAGGCTATTCGGGCAGCATCGCAGCTGCTTCCTCCGCGCCTTTCTACACAGGCATCGGGTGTCGTAGGGCAGCAGAGCTTCGAAGGTGAATCCGTTGTGAGAGTTCCTCTAGCCAGTTGCATGTCAGTGGCCCAGAAGGAATCGGATCCTCTTGAAGGTTTGTGGTTAACAGACTGAACTGAGGATGCCTTTGCCACGGGCCCGAGAAAATCCTTCACCACACAGGCATACACGATGATTCGGGCTCTGTAGGCATGTTGATGAGTGAGGGCATATTATGGTGGAATATATATACATATATATATAGATATAGATATAGGGAAACTACTTGTAGAATCGGAAATCGAAACCCTGCTTCGTAGGGCAGCCCAGACTGGACCTCAAGCAGGCGCCGAAAGTAAGCCCTTCGTTCGTTATCTACTCAGGTTCTTGCAACGCCGTTGCCTGCCCATACGCATCGACCGGTGCGAACGCAGCTGGGTCGGAAGTCTGTGTGCAGCTTTCCACCACCCTTTGCAGAGGAGCCGACTGTTGACGGTACATGTCATAACTTCCCAAACTCGTCGAGTCTGATTCAAGGGCACAGGCTTGGACTCTCAGTCTGGCGAACGGACGGTTTAGGGTTTAGGGTTTAGGGTTTAGGGTTTAGGGTTTAGGGTTTAGGGTTTAGGGTTTAGGTTCCTGCTGGATGCAAGTGCTATGCCGGCTACGAGGGCAGTGTGACAGCCAAAACAGGTGGGTGTAGTGCAGTTCTGCACTCGTTCAGCTTTGATGAGTGTTCCCGTGAATTTTTTGGATCCTTTTGCTTACTTTGAGCGATTACTTGTGGTCAAGTAGCCCGCGAGGAGGCGTCTATAATTCGATAATGGTTTATATTTAGCAGGCTTTGCGCGGTTCGCAGTCTTTTGTCGACAGGCTCCCCGTTCTACACCTACAGCTGCAAGGCGCAGAGAGCACATGTTGCAAGCTCGGGCCGGTGCACGTTTCCTGAGATCCATGTAAAATACGTATAAGTCCCAGCCGTAGCCTGGCGAGCCTTGAGAGAGAGTCGTTAGACGAGCTACGAACCTGCTCCCAATATGAAGCCCAGTTGGCAGTTCGACTCTGTGAGGAGGTCTCGGTTTCGGAAGTTGCTACATGCACCTGTGCCCTTGCCAGTCTGTGCTGGTTGGCGGCACCTTCGCCCTTCATGCCACGGTCCACAATCGCTTCCTGCGCATGAACGGCCACCCGGTGCTGAGTGATGTTGGCCATACTTGCAAGCCCGGTCTTGAACACTTCAGATCGCACGTTGCTGTTCTCTGCAATTCGTTTTCAGATGTGCTACTCACAGGGTCACACTATTGAGATTCCGGTGTCCTGGCGGCTGAATCGAATAGCAAGCTCCAAGTGGCTTGGATTCGTCACGGGCCCTAAACCCCCTCGAAAGAAATACCAAGGTGAGAACATGGAGCGGACCTCGGCTAAGGCCAGTGCACCTAGACCGCACGAATGAACTGCGGTTATGTTAATGGGTGACAAAGCCGTGTCAACGTTCGGTGCGAACGCGGCCCAGCCCACAGCCGCTGTGCGCTGCTCGCCGAACCAAATTTGTTTAGTCCCAACAAGCCCGTGAGGCCTCGGAGAGGAGAAAGGAGAACCAAGCCAACATGTCGATGTCCGGATCCACCTCCCTGAACTTGACCGACGAGCTCGGATGGGCCATGGGTTCTTGAGGTGTGTGAATTTTCCCAAGGCCAAGCTGCCATCCAACTGGGACACGTCGTTCTTCCGCATCGTGGATGCTGGCGCAGGCGACCGGACAGATACGGGGCCGTCTCTCCAAAGGCTTTGACCGGATTGGCCGGATAAGTTTCCGGCCGAAGTTCATCGGGCACCTGCTCTAGTTAGTAGGAGTGACACGTCAGCTGTTGGGTGCAGGTGAGAGTCGCAGGGGAGGTCCTGGAGTGTGCATATGCATATATGTTATTGCATGCATGCACATGCATGCATGCAATTATGTATGTATGCATGCATGTATGTATGTATGTATGTATGTACGTACATACGTATGTAAGGGTTTATATATGAAAGTGTATATGTATATATATATATACATACATACATACCCACATCTAGTGGAGGGTCGATTAGCCAATTTTTCACGCTACGCCGCCCGCCTTGGCTTGCCGAAAAACAGCACTGTGGCACAACCCGCTAATACTCAGTTACGCTATTGCCAGTCGCATGCAAAGGAGAAAGAGGGGGGGGGGGGGGTAGGGCGACNNTGTCCCGAGCGATGTCGTTCGAACTCGAATCTTTGAGAGTTTGACAGCCTCAAACTTTGAAGTTTGAACGGTTCAATCTTTGAAGGCTCGAAAAGTTTGAAAGGCGCTGGAGTTCGAAAGCTTGGCCACCGTGGAATAGGCAAGCAAACGGGCGTGAAACTTCGAACTTTTCAAACTCGAAAGTTCAATCTTTCGACTTCAAACTTTTGCCGCGGCCGAGTTCGATCGGCTCTCAAACTTTGAGAGTTTGAATCTTTGAGAGATTGAAAGTTCGAAGGTTTGAAGAATTCTATAGTTTCGAGATTGAAAGTTCGATGGTTCCAACTCGAGATTTTGAAACTTCGACAGTTAGGAGTTTGAAAGTCTGGCTTCAAGCTTGGCCCGCGACCCAGCACCAAGGTCGAGAGTTTGACAGTTCGAAAGTTTCAATGGTTGAGAGTGCGACATTCGAGAGATGGAAGGTTCGAAAGTTTGGGGTTCGAAAATTTGAAAGTCTCGAGAGTTTGAGAGTTTGAAGGTTTGAAAGTTTCAATTCTTTGAAGGTTTGAACCGCGTCGAATTCGAAAGTTCGAAGATTTACCGAGTTTCGAGTTCCAAAGTTTGAGAGAGTTCGAACGTTCGAGTTTGAAAAGTATGAAAGTTTGAGGGGCCCAGCATGTGGTGGCATCTATGAATTTGCTCACCAGCGGCTTGCACTAACTTATGCTCTCATCACCTCATCAGCGGTCTGGTCCTTGTGGTTATCCGAGGTTTAGGATGTTGACGGCTTTGGTGAGTGTGCGATCAGGGATTGGAGGTAATATGGTCTCCCGCCCTATACACAACCGCCGCGCCTAGGCTTCGAATCTTTGCAACAAAATCTAAAAATCCTAAGCCTCAAATCCTAAGGACAAGCCTTGAATCCTATAGGCCCATGTACGAAAGACCTTTATGTATTATTTGGCGATAGGCTCTCTGTATAGTATACTGATCCAGTCCACCGCCTCCAGCCCAGCCCCCCCCCAATTAAATTATATAAAATCCTTAAAATCTTTAAAATTTAATTGGCCGCCCAATTAAAATTTAAAATTTTATAAAATTTAAATGCCCTTAATTTTCTTTTAAAAAAATCCTTAAAATTTAATTGGCCGCCCAATTAAAATTTAAAATTTTATAAAAATTTAAATGCCCTTAAATTTTTTAAAATCCTGAAAATTTAATTGGCAGCCCAATTAAATTTTAAAGATTTTAAGGATTTTAAGGATTTTACAAAATTTAATTGGGGGCCTCCGGCCTCCAGCC